TAAGTAAATTCAAAGACTAAGGTCGAACTTAATCAAAACTATAAGTAAATGATTAATTTTATTTATTTAAATTATTATTTATGTTAAAAATAAAAAATAAAATATCAAATCATCAAAATTTCTCGTTGTGTATTTATTTTATTTTATTGAAAAAATCCCATAAAATCTGTATCGTATGCCTGACAATATCTACTTCTAATCCCAATGACGTATAAGTGAGGAATAAGTGAAAGAGGGGTAGATGGATGCAGCTGTCTTTGATTGAAATGAAAATAACTTCTTCAGCTTTGAGTGGTTGGTAGAAAGCAAACCATAACCTCACATGCAGATCACGTGCTTACCTTCTCCTTTATTTTGGAATGCACCTTAGAAGCCATGATTCATCAATCATAGACGTTACCTAATAAGAAATGTATTCTATTTAAGTGCCAAATTGTAACCTCCACTTTCCATCTAGCATTCATCTATTACACCTGATCAGAGTCACAGAGAGAGAGAGAGAGAGAGAGAGAGAGAGAGAGAGAGAGATTTTGTCTGGTGATCTGTTCATACCATTCTCTCGAGAGACAATGATGAAGAAGGCGTGTGTCATTGGTGGGTCCGGTTTTGTAGCCTCCATTCTCATCAAACACTTGCTTCTCAAGGGCTATTCCGTCAATACCACTGTTAGAGATCCAGGTCTCTCTCTCTCTCTCTCTCTCTCTATATATATATATATATATATCATGTAGGCACACACGCACAGCTCCTTTATGTCATTTCATGTGTGTAGATGGAATTTGATGTCAATCTGGCTACTGTCAAATTACCATCATGTGGTTTTTATATATCTCCACAGACACAGCTTGATGTGAATATACTGTTTATAGTTTTTAAATAATATGACTGTTTTTTTCCTACATATATATAATTTACTAATTTTAGGCCTTCCATATTTAGTATTATACATTGATATGATTATTCCTCTTTCTTATCTCATCACCACAAAGTGACCTAAAATATCTGTACAACTTATGGGATTTAATTAATGCTCTTGTTCTCATCCTCACGTGTTACCATCAGAAATTATTAAGCAGATGAGGAAAAAAAAAAAGACGCTAGAATAGCCTTCTGTTTTGGGATCACATGAGATATTTCTATAAATGTAACTGTTTTTATTATAAAAATTTTGGTACAGATCTATTTCTGTGCAGTGAAGAACTCTTGAATGGCCTTTGCTTAAACAAATCCAAGCCTTTCTTCAGAGACAGTAACCAAAGATAGCATAAATTAAGGGTAAAAAAAAAAAAACTTGTTTTTGAATCATAGTTCTGAATTGAGTGTTTTGTGCAGGTAATCCTAAAAAGATATCCCACCTAGTGGCACTTAAGAATCTGGGAGAGTTGAAAATATTTGGAGCAGATTTAACAGAAGAGGACAAGTTTGATGCACCTATAGCAGACTGTGATCTGGTCTTCCATGTTGCTACTCCTGTCAACTTTGCTTCTCAAGATCCTGAGGTATAATCATCTACATGCGTGTGCGTGCTCAAACATGTTATTTATGCTCCATCCAATAAAAAAAAAAAAAACAGAGTTACATTATTTTAATCTTATGTGACTCGGTTTATTTTTACTGGAGAGAGCATAAGTGATGTATTGGACTGGGTGAACCTAAGAATTTCTCCTAGTAGCTAATACATGATTTATGTTTCTGTGAATTCCTATGAAAGAATGACATGATCAAGCCAGCAATCCGAGGAGTTGAGAATGTGTTGAAAGCATGTGCAAGAGCAAAATCAGTAAAAAGAGTGATAATGACTTCTTCAGCAGCTGCTGTAACTATAAACACACTCAATGGGACTGGTTTGGTTATGGATGAAAGCAATTGGACTGATACTGAGTTCTTGACCACAGCAAAGCCACCTACTTGGGTAAGATCAGACCCATTTCACTATTGCCTTCACTGGGAATGAATTATCTGGAGTTGAGAATTTGTGAACTTCATGAATTTTTTTTTTAAAGAAGGGAGAGAAGAATCTATATTTTATAAAAAATTATAAAATATATAAAAATGCTAAAAAGGAAAACATAGAAATTTGTAAATAAATTTCAGAGAATTTAAGCCTGTCGTCACCAACCTTTTCTTCAATACCAGTGGATCCTCTGAAGTTGAAGTTGATGAAGTTGAGAATAAGGTACTAGTATTCATATGTACTACTAGTATTTTGTGTTCAACTTTACGAGTTTTCTAGATTCTTCACTTGAGAGGATTTGAATTCAGTATTTTGAGCTTGAAGAAGTTTTTGGTTTTCTTGATACTTTATCCGAAGTTTCTTCCTCGATCAAGTAGTTGAAAATTGGATTTATTTTGAAATTAAATGTTCAGGGATATCCTGTGTCCAAAACAGTAGCTGAGAAAGCTGCATGGAAATTTGCTGAAGAAAATAACATTGATCTCATCACTGTGATACCAAGTCTCATGGCTGGTCCTTCTCTCACTCCAGACATCCCAAGCAGTGCCAATCTAGCCATGTCCCTAATTACAGGTCCAAAACTTCATATCATCAACCTGAAAATTAAAGAGCTGTTTACATTAGATGAATTCTAGCTCGGATACACTAGGAAAAAATTATTTTTTAACATGCATATTAAAATAAAACATTGGCAAGACTATTTCAAGCCATACATTTGTTTCAGCTTGAGAGAGATAGACAGACAGGTGGATTTGACATGCATATTAAAACAGGCCATGTCTTATTGCATATTTTCTTGAAATTTTTTTAGACTTAAAGTTGACTGTTATAAAAGAACAAAATTGCACTGGGTTTGAAAGATTATATTTTTCACGGTTCATAATTTTTTTTTTTAAAATATCCATAGCTTCCTCGTGAATACTTTTGGGACAAAAATGCATTTTTACCCTTTCACATATGTGTTGGTATACTAAGGATAGGTACAAATCAAGTCAACAAGTTAGTCTACGTGCTCCTACTTTTTTTTTTTAAACATGCACAAACATTTTAGGTTCTATTCAAAACTAAATCTGACACAACCCTATGATATGTTGATGACTAAATTGGTCTATTAGTCTCTGATGGATTATGGGCACTGATTGATGTTTAAAACTTGCAGGAAATGAGTTTCTGATAAATGGATTGAAAGGGATGCAAAAGCTGTCAGGTTCAATAAACATCACTCATGTAGAAGATGTTTGCAGAGCACATATATTTTTAGCTGAGAAAGAATCAGCTTCTGGGAGATACAATTGCTGTGTTCATAACACAAGTGTTCCTGAGCTTGCCAACTTCCTTCACAAAAGATACCCTCAGTACAATATTCCAGCTGAGTAAGCTTCTGCTCCCAACATTCAAGTTATTTGTTTCTTTTGTTTTTTTTTTTAATCCTCCCTTTTTTTGGAAGTTGTTTATATAGCCATTTGACTAAGTTAGGTTTGAATACTGTGGAGCTCAATTGGAGGTAAATCTCCTCAAACCATTTTCTGCATTTGCATAGATTCGAGCCTAAGACTTTGTATTTAAGCGATTATAGCCCTTTTTAAGACCAACGCATGTAGATTTTTCTCATGAATCTTGGTATAGGATAAAGATTTAAAATGCCCATCATTTATTTAATTTAGAAATAAATGGATGAGCAGCTCAAGTAATGGGATTTTAAAATTTATTTTTTTTCATTAATAGTTAAATGTTAATTCTTGTCATTGAAAAGTTGCAATTTTCAAGTGTTTTTTGAGATAGAGAAGAAGAATGATTTTTTTTTTTTAATTTTAAATATCAACCATACACTAAAGTTGAAATCATAATTTTACTCAGTTCTTAGGATCTGAGCAGAAGTCAGACCACATCAATAAATTAGTTGTTACCTGCCAATTCAAATTAAAAATAGGACCATTCATTCATTTACAAGATTGCACATGGTACACACGTTTTCTTGGACCACTTGTATCATATTCAGATGACTATTTCCTTTTAATTTTTTTTTATTTTAAAGTATAATACAGAATAATTGTTTTTAACTACCGATTTTTTTCAAAAAAATTCGATTTAAATAAAAAAAATTAAATTTTAGGCCCCATATTAAATTTAAATTATTTGAAAGGAATATGCACTACAAGTCTTTTCCCCGAATGTAGAAGATCTATGCTCTCTGAATGAGTCACCCAACTTGATCCTGAGAAATTATTTGGTTTTACTTTTAAATGCGTTCAAAGAAAATCTCATAATATTCTTGTGTTTTAAGTCCATCATGACACCGTTCAACTGCTCTTTCTCTCTGTTTTTTCTTAAAACATTCTTCAACATTTGTATTTATGAACTTTCTTTTTCTTTTGCACATGTAGATTTGCTGATTGCCCCTCCAAGCCCAAGTTAGTGTTCTCTTCGGAGAAGCTCATCAAAGAAGGGTTTGAATTCAAGTTTGGGATTGAAGAAATCTATGACCAGACTGTGGAATATTTCAAGACTAAGGGGGTTCTGAAGAATTGAATGCTGACATACTTGAAGTTAATCTTGCAGAATCTCAGCTTATCATGTAATAACAATCTGGTTTGTGAAGTTCAATATGATATATGCATTGAGCTATTAATTTCAGGTTGAAGTAATTAAGTTCATCTCCTATTGTAACTTTTGATATAATCTAAGTTAAAAAGCAGAGCTCTAGATAGGAATATGCCATTTAAAAAGCATTTTCATTTCTAAGCTTTAATTTCTTATCCAAAATGCAATTGAATCAAAATGATCAAACTTCACAAAAATAAAAAATTCCTACAAAATCACACACACACACACACACACAAATAACCCCCTTCACTCCACTCCACTTGATTCGTTCTCCAACAAATGTAAAAAATGAAGCAAAACAGATTTTGGTTCAGGGACAGCTAAACAAAACCAGTATAATTATGTTGTAACTATTCTATTACTGTCAAGAATCAAAGCTTACCCAAAGCTTTTCCTCCAAACAACTTAAATAAAAAGAAAAAACTATACATGAGCAAAAATTATCAAATCTGGTAATCCCAATCCAAACTTTACCCGTGGTTTAGATGGGGAGACAAGAAGAAAAGAATACTATGAGAGAAAATGGCCTTGGCAGTTTTCTCTCCCTTCTATTTTCCTCCCAACTTTCCTTCCATCCAAACCAAGAAAGTAGCTCTCCTGCATTTGTGCAGTCAAAACCATTTAAAGAGAGACTGACACAACAAAATATGAGTGTGAATGATTCCTGAACAGCTGAACCCGAGGTTATATGCCCGTTATCTCTTTACTTCCTATGATACATTCACTAAAGTAAATGTAGAGAATCTAAGTCCTTATAATAATCCAAGATAACACTAGATATCTACATATAATAAGAAAAAAAGGGTATACAAAACAAATATTTACAGATATCCAAAATCACACCACACATAACATCATCGGCTATGCAATCTGTGCAACAAGATTGAGCGCTCTGTGGATGAAAATTCCTGGATTTTTAGACGTTCCACTTCAATGGAAACTTCATTTACTGCAGCAGGAGACTGTGTATTATCATCTCTACAATAATGCTGCTTCTTATAGAGCTGAGATAATGATCCAGCAATGTCCCTCATGGAAGGTCGGTCTCTGGATGCTTCACTGACACATTTCAAAGCAAGACAAGCCATATCATTAAGCCTAGGCACATCATATTTTCCATTAAGCTGTGAATCCACAATTTCTTCCCATCCAACCTTACTCTCGGCTTCCATGGCTGCCTAATTAATCATCAAGAAGAGATCTTATGGCAATACTGCTACAATATTTACCAGTTATAGATGTGTACAAGATAAAAATCTTGCGACTTTCAATGCAGTTCAAACTTCAAAGGCACAGAGCTTAAGCTATTGTCAGTACCTTCTACATCAAATGCTTATCTAATTAGAACAATTAACATCTACATATCAATATATAAGATAAAATCTATAGTAAGTCGGGCTATTTATAATTTATGGATGGTACAACTCATTTGTCAAACTTTGTACACGAAAAAAAATGTGTTTTTTTGTAGCATAGTATTGCCTGGTTGACTATTTTAAGATTTTTCATGTGCGTTAATGACAGCAAACAACTAAAAACTGTATCTATGTTTTTACCCCCAAAATATTATACATGCATAAGCACATTGACATGAACTCACAACCAACGTAGTGCTAGCACTCACTAGTTTCACATATTCCATCATGCCCTGCTGTGGATTCCTGCCAGTAATCAATTCAAAGAGTAGCACACCAAAACTATAAACATCACTTTTCTTGGTAAAAGTTTTTGTTGACACGTATTCAGGATCAAGATAGCCAAAAGTTCCTTTGACATTAGATGAACGGGTTTTAATCATCTCTGGTCTCGAAAGCCCAAAGTCAGTTA